CTTGTTGCATCCCTAATGGACTAATTCACTTGGGAACTGTTACAGTTGTTGGCTTTGAAGCTATTGTTCTTTTATTTATTTATTCCTACTCATATAAAACTTATTAGCATTGATCTAAAAGAAAGTATAGAATTTGTTTAATTTAAAATATTCTTTCTTTCTCTTGTTGTGCATAGAAAATAGGACTACATCAAAGGTCATTTAATCAATACTGTCATATAAACTATATTTTCTATAAGTATAAGTATCACAAGTCTACCCAGTAGTTAAGGTTGTCGAGGACAGAACGGTTTGAAAAAAAAGTCGGTATGTGACTATGCACTAGATTTTATTTCTTTCTCATTAGTTTACAAACAAATGTCCTGAAAATAAATTTCGAGGATATCAAATAATGCATACACAACAACTTTTTCAGTATTTCATGTATATATTGAATATTATTGATTTTAATTTGAAATTATGCAGGCAACGAAGAAACCATTCGTGAAATTAGCAATTTTCATATGATATTGCTTGCTCTAACATATATACAGACTCGGCTCGCTCGCAAACTTTGAACCGCTTGTATAAATCGATTAGTTCCTCGAATTGCTGAGTGTAATAACTTTATACGATTTACCAGAACATATTGGAACGTCCTTCCTGGATCCAATTCAGCATTGGTCCTCCTGCTGGAGAGGATTTTACGAAATAAAATAAATTTTCGTTCAAAGAAAACATAGTTAGGACTTGAGATTTGAAATCTACCTATTTCTAAACTATTGATTTGAAATAAAGCACGACAAAAAAAATAAATACATGAAGATAACATAGAAAGTATAAAAACGTTCTGATATTATGCATGACTTTCACTACATCATCTAAATAAATATAGTCTATACTTTTTTTTACAATTTAAATAAGATACTGCAATACCTCGCATAATTCTAAACACTATACAAGCTAAATGTTTTCAGACGATTAGTTATCAAAATATCTTTCGCTGAAATCATCAGGGTATTTCAGAAGGTATAATGAAATGTTAAGATCTTTGTATTGTAATACCTCACTCTGTGTAGCTTCGATCAGTCCGGATTTACTGTGGTCCTGTTTCAAAACAAACTAAACTTTAATTAATTAAAATTAAAATAAATGAAAAAAATGTACACAATATTATTCTTTTATTCATGGTATTTTTTCACTTGTATTGTCAAGTCTCTTTTTATGCGGATTATATATGTATATTGTTCCTCAATTAAGTTTCCAACAGTTCGGATTATTGATGGAACCAATCACCAGTATAGTATGTGAAGTATTCAAAATATATAGAAACGCAACGAGCGGAATGATGTATACATGCAACTGTGTAGTATATCGTCAGAAAAGCTATATGGGATAATCTATTTTGTTGATCGATTTTCCAAAATTATTATGAGCCAAGAGCAGATGTTTAGTATGAAGGAAGTGAAGTATGAAATACTACTATTTGCAAAGATAAAACATCTAAATTTTATCCACACTTTGATGATGACCATCGTTTATATATTTCTTCACAGTGAAATGAATTAACTGAAGAATTTACATTATTTTGTTCATTTGATACCAATTTTTTTAATAGCCATCATCATGGTATATCAATTAACTCATATTTATAGAGTCTCCTCCTGATACTTGTTACTTTTCAAGATGCAAATATATACAAGGTACACCCTGAACTGCATTTTGATGGTTACCATGACTGTAAATGAGAGGTGCAGAATTCATATACTTTCAATGAATGCGTGATGCATTGCGGCACATCGGACGGTCATCATCAAGAACACAATTGTGTTCAAGAGAACGAAAGTAGAACTGTTGTCCCCAGGTGTACCTTGTATATGTTGGGGTACAGTACAAATAAACATCACACATCTTTGTGTTGTCTACACGTATTATGACGTTTTCTAACTGTGCGTTCTGGTTGTAAATCACCTGTTCTTGGCTGTGTTTTATAAAATAAACTATTTGCTATTCATTATTAATCAACATTTTAACCAAATTAATCGACTATCCTCAAGGGTGTTGTTTATGCGCCTCCTCGACTAAAAACACAAAAAAGTTATGCATGACAGAAATAATATTTATTTATTGATCACCGATATTTCTCCTAGTAGTGACAACATTTGAACTAGCACTTCAAAATATTATTTCTTTTATAAAGTCAAATTTCTTTTTGTGAAGTTTTAAAGTTATGCCGGATTATCACATTATCACATAAAACACTACTTATAAGTAATAAAGAACTATTATACGGCGCCCGGAATTTGAATGTCATATTATTTCGGATTGCATTTACAAAACGCGACTACATTAGACGTAATAAACCGTGAAGATTCCAACATGTAATTACCATTGTTACACTTATCCTGCTGTCATGTGGCGTGCTAAATAATCAGGATTAAACTCTAGCCTGGACGGAGCTTAAATATTATGGTTTCACTCCATGTCTTCCGTACTTGTATTTTTATTTATTTCAGTTCGCAAACTTTTCTCGTCTTGTAGTTTGCAATGAGAATTTAAATTGTTGTAAATAGAGCTTATTTTTATCCTTAGACAAGAAGTTACTTAAAATAACACATAATTATGTTTTTGTTTTAAATTATATTTATATGTATTTAAATTTGTTGTATTCAAACCCTTTACAGTGTTATATATAATCATTTTTAAATCACAAATTACAATTTTTTTTTATTAAAAAAATCATATAAAAGATTAAAACTATTTTTTTTTAATTTACAAAATTAATTATTTTATTTTTACCTTGCATATTCATCAATAACGTAATGAAACTTCAGCAATCAAATTAATAGCGCATAGAGGAATGTTTAATACTTTGATGTGTGTTGCAACTTCTATTTGGTATTTCATATATACTAAAACTACATCAAAGTGAAAATACAGTAATTGAAATTGAAACTTAAATACCGAAACTATTTATGAGAACGATAAATAATTGGACACATCAATAATTAATTTATATTTCATATCCTATAAGCAGCGGTCAAATCAAACAATTATTAATAAAATAAATTATTAATTAAATTTTCAAATAACATAATAATTTTAGTTCAATTGCATTCAAATATTTGTAAGTGTAATATATAAAAACTTTCATATTTTAATAGATTCTTTATTGTAAATTTCTGAAATATATATATTTTAATGCTATTAGAAAATCTAGATTTTTTAACTATATTAAAATTAAATATCAAATAATTATCAAAAATATATTTTTATTTAATTAAACTAAGAAATAAATTAGATTTATTTATAATTAAAAAGTGAAATCTAAATTTTGATTATACCCATATGACAAATGAATGAGTACAAAAATGCAATAAATTACATTAACTATAATAAAAAAAGGATGATATTTCACAATTAATTATTCATAGTATTTTATCTGCAAATGCTTTTTTATTTATATCTTTATAATTTGCTGATGAATATCTTAATTATATTTATCTTAATGATGAATATATATAAATATATATAATTATATTAATTTTAATATATTTCATTTTTGATTTTTAATTATTAACTACAAATTTCCTTAACAAATCACATTTTGAGACTTGTCATATAGAAATCATTAATATTTGATTTAGTAATTATTTTATTCCAAGAATTAAAAGAAAATGTTCTTGTATTTTTTTTAAACATAAATCAATTGCAATACATATTTGATTTATGAAATTGTTTCCCAACCATATAAGTTCGAATGATTGGTAAGAAATCAGGAAGTTATTTACTTTAAGGTGTCACTAATACTTTAATTCCTAGAGAATTTGGGGTGCTTTTCATATCTGTTTTAATATAGCTCACTTAACATATAGACTATTAACTTAACATACATTTTCATTTATTTATATTTTTGCATTATTTTGTCAATCCATTTCATATATACAAACTAAGTTTGCGTTGATTTAAATTCACGCTTTTTGGAGATGGTATAGTAGTTCCATAATAAGTGATACTGTTGTTTATTTTTTTAATATATTAAAAAATATTAATATTGGATTGTAAAAAAAACTATATGATGATATAAAATTATAGTTATATAAGATTAGCTTTTTTAAGCAAAGAAAAATTTTATTAAATAACCTGTCAACTTATTATACATACAAAGTAAAATCACATTTAAAATATGAGTTTATTTCTTTCATTTTACACAGTATTTTAAACATCTGAACATCTTTAAATTTGTCTTTATTGAAAATAAAGTTTTCTAAATCTCTAAAACATCATTTTTTTCATTAAATAAATGTATGTTAAATGTGTGGGCTTCTTTATATCGAAGCATTGTTATCAGAGGTAACATCAACATAGGAACGACTGCATATTTGTAATAAGTGACGATGGATGATAATAAAACAAATTTTCGGAAAGCTGCCTTCAATAAAATTACATATTTGTAATAAAATTGTTTCGCGTTAGACGCGATCATCAATCTCCCAAGACAGATTTTCTTGCATGCGTGAGGTTATTAAATTCGTATTGTGCATAACGTCTTCGTATGATTTAATATCGCGTACCAGAGAGAGAGAGAAAAAAAATGTAATAAAACTGTCGGTGTGTTGCGCGAAAGCTGAAGTGAAATTAGTCAATCAAAAGTTGTTCGAAGAACCATTAAAACGCTGAAGAATAGGAGGTTGGGCGCGCACGGAATAAATTGCATGTTAATGGAAGCGTGTAATTTAATAGTGAAACAAAACAATTAAGGCAAGAGAGCGTTAGAAAAAGGGACAACTAAGAAATTAATTAAAGTTTCATAAGATAAGTACCTGGATCGAGGATCTCGGATTTTGGAGCACATCCAAATGGAAAACTCTGGTCCGCATTTATTTTGTGTGTGTGTGTCTATTGCCTTCATCTCTTACTCCTCCGCTCTTTTATTTTAGGGTCCGGTTTTACCTAAATAGAATCGCCTTTATCTCAACATAATAAACCCCCTAGCACTTTTCTCTCGTGTTTTGTTGCAGAAACTGATCGAACGAAAAATTCCGGCAGTTATTCTTATCCCACGGTAATCGGTCCCAGCGTCAGCGAAACGAGTGAGTAATATAAATGCAAACCAAAAAGAAATAAAAATAAATGAAAAAAAAACTAATAGAAGATAGAAAAGAAATAACTCACTTAGATGAGAGTTTATAAAATATGAAAGGGAGATTGTTTTGTTTGTTCTTTTTTCTTGATGAATCGAAGCAGATATTTATGTCTAGTTTTGCAGCTATTTCGGCCACTGTCGAACCGACGACCACGCAACAAACGTTTCGATCTGTTGTCAAGGTCTGCAAAGGCAAGTTTGGCATTAATAGTTTACTGGTATTCCTCGTATAACACGATATTTACGTACTTGAAACCCTGTAACTTTTGGGGTAAATTTGAAAGTAAAATAAGAAATAGTAATATTATAAAACTCTAATTTACTGTATTTCTCCCAAGTATAAGTAATAACATTTTTCGAAAATTATATTAAATCATTTTAGATTTTCTGATCAACACTAACTTCATTGTGATAAAAAATTACCTAAAAATGTTACAATTTAATTATTTTTTACCCTATAATATGTCAAAAATATAATAACTTACAACTAAAATATTAGTTTCATAAAGGCTATATATTTAACAGATCATTTTAAATGACTATAAGATAATATGCAAATTTAAAATCGTGTTATATGAGTTATACCTGTATATGCCTTTAGCGATAGATTCCCGAATCCATCCAATCGGATGTCTCAATTCCTTCTAGAAGGAAATAGAAAACTCCCGAATGCAACACCTAATTTTACGGTTTGGTAATTTCACGGCGGTAATGAATTAATTCAATTTTCGTGGCGTAATGATATATCGCACTTACGGTGAATTATTAAATTGAAATTTATCGCTGGAAATTTATAAATGGGCTACGGGTCGTTGGGTCCGGTTCCTTCCTGTTTTAATGTCGTTAACAACTTAGTACACTTCTGATTTTGATAAATACATCGAGGCCAAATAACCGTTATTATTTATTGCAGAATTGTTGTCTTTCTATATCTGTTGTAATTAATGAACATGGGATGACACTACTTGGAATGAAAGTAAAAACAAATCTTTATTGAATGAGTAATTGAGTTTAGTTTGTAGCATTTACTTGAAAAGTGGTATTAATGATTCAAATATATTTATTCAATTTATTTTACAACAATTTATAATAAAAAAAAATTGTTGTAAAGAGACTAACTGAAAAACTATATTATTTACAATAAAATTAGTAAATATAGTATAATTTAATATCTATATAGTTAATTTGGTATATATATATATAATTTGGTAATTCAGGAAATGTCCATATAAGAAAACGATATGAATTATAAAAAGGTTGAATTAAAAAATTATATAGTAAAATATATTTTTTTTAAAGCAAAAACCAAACTACAATATACAGCCTTTTTGTATGTTACATAATTTCAATTATAAAGATTTATTTTATTTTTTGTGACTATTATCATTTATAAATTAAAGTTGAAAGAAAAACTTCGCCCTTTGACGCAAAGTAGTGGTGCTAATGAAAAACATGGAAATAAGTAATATAAATTGAAAAATATTAATAATTTATAACAGAAATAATTCAAACTTATGTAAATATCATTTAGGAACAATCAGTAAATAATGAAATTAAATAAAAGTGTATAAACCTTATTATTATTATTTTACATAAAAATATATTATTTAGTCCTATTGATCTTTTCGTCATAGAATCTTAAAAACTTACTTATTAATATATTTAATTGTGGAGCGATGTATATAATGTAGTTACATATTACACAAATTTTATTTTTATGGATGCGCCGGGTAATTTTATTTTTATGCATCTCGAAGAAGTATAATTATATAAATATATGTATAATTCTCGTATATAAAATAATTAAACTATATTTTTATCACAAAGAGAAGCTATTGCTAGCTATCTGTCCGACCTATTCAAAACATTTGGATCTTTGCGGGTGATCGGCGGATATATTCGCCCTATCCTTTACACATGAGACACATGTAAAATTGCATGCAGTCATCAAATCTTAGTTCTAAGCGGAGTTCCAATTGTCAGACAGAGACGTAAAATCTTTGTGGTCAGTTAACAAACAGTTGAAAATGAGACTTTGAGAAACCTGTTGTTCATTCATATTAGTTATTATTGTATTAAAGATAATTATGAATGTAATAATTAACTATACATTAGTTACATAATTAAACCAGTAAAGAAATATAAAATACAATATCTATATGGAACTATTATACAATAATTTTAATAAATGGATCAATTAAATTGATTCGTCATTAATTGTGAATGAATTGAAAACTGCGATTGGAACGAGTGCGGTCTCATTATGAACCTATTTGGTTGATGATGATGCACTGTTAAAATAAAGTAGGAAATTCGTGTATACCATAAATCATCCCTTAAGTGCCGTTATTTCTGCGTTACGGCACGCAACCTCGCAATGCCAGAAGTGGTGATATTGAATTATTCTAATAAATTCCGTCGGGCCATGATTTCTTTCTTTAGAATGGATGCAATCCATCCACGTCCAACTCTAACGTTTTCATACTCACCCTCCAACCCTTCACTCCGTACACGACACTAAGCAAATGCATGCATATCCATTACCTGCGGTTGTTTATTTTAAACGTATTTCAATTGTAAATAAAACATATTGCAATTTTTCTATCCAAATATTAGATATTTTGTAAATTTATCTTCAAAACATTATTGAGTTTTCATTTTAAAACATTTGTCTTTGCAATTATTATTTTATTATAAAAATGTACAGAGTGCGTATAGAGTCACTATAGTTTGAAAGTTTAAAAACAAACTATATTTTCAATTATAAAAATAAATTCTGAAAAACGAAGCTTTCATATAACGAAATCCTATTCAAGGTTTGATAGTAATTGAAAATATGTATACATTCAAATTTTTTTTTTATTATTTAAAAATTGAAAAGTAAATCTGTATTAAATTTTCTGAATGCGTATTGATTTTAATTGTAATTTAATATATAATTTATTTATATTATAAACATTTTACATAGGATTATATTTACAAATTATCAAAAAAAAAATATATATAGAATGAAATATATGCATTTTTTATTTAAAAATTCAACAATAAATGTGAATGAAATTGTCATGAATACGTGTATATTTATTTAAAATCCATAATGCGACACGACAACCATTATATATATTTGACCGAGTTCATTTTACATTTTATCATTGTTATCAATCATTCATTCAAACACACAATATTTTTTTTATATCGCACAGCATGAGGACATTCGCACGACTGAAACAATGTCCTGTCACATACCATTGTCTTTGTGCCACCTTGAATCCTCAGACCGCGGGCCCCCATTATGTTTGGGGGCCCGCTCTAACACTGTTTGGGGGACTCGACTAACGTTATTTGGGGCACTCATACCTCCTTTGCTTAATCGGGCAAATAAAAACCATGACTAAATCCGCTCTTGTCAGCCCTTGTGGAATAAAAATAGTCTTTTGCAAAGACTACTAGAGTATGCATGCAAATTTGAACTACCGAATTTCTGATGGGGATCGCATTCGAAGACGTAATTTTATTCCGGAAGATGTAAACTGTTTTACTTAATCTTATTACAGACACTACAGAGCTTTTGAATTTGCGATATTGTAAATCTTTGTAGCTTAGTGAAACGATTTAAAGGCGTGAGATATTGCAGCCGCAACGAAACCGGCTAAATTGAAGAGGCGCTTGCCAAATGTGCAAACTTACGTTCGCTCTAACATGCACCACTACCATATGCGAATGATGTAATTTCCTCTTAGATGAACTATAAATCTCATTAGTTTTTTAATATTAATTTTAAACAAATTATTAACATCAGTTGAAAACTTGATAAAATTTACATTTTCATGTAATTTTTCTAAATAAAATATATTATAATAATTAACACTATAAATCGCAAATAAACCAATAAACTAAGTATAAATACGAGAAATCATATTTGTATGCTGCTTCATGCAAAACATGATACATTTTATAAGAAAATAATTAAGTACATCAATTACTCGCACAGTACCAGTTCGATCATTGCGGATAAAAAATCCGGATTAAAATAAATTTTAATTTGCTTACTTACATTTACATATATTTTTCTCTTTATAAAGTTTTAATGCTGTTTATTTCAATTTAATTTACTTCCTCGTTTAGCGGACTAACACAAACAGTCCGCGATATTAGCGGATCCAATTACCCGCACTATGCGAGGTATTGTTGTAATTAGGATATTGAATGTATGACTTAATTATGGAAATAGTTACAACAATAATCCATTAATAACGTTAACATTAATTTATTTTGTCAAATAAAATGTAATTAAAATTAAATAATTCAAATCTTAATTAGTACTGAAGTATTCAAGAATCATTGTTTGTAATTTCTAGAGTAAAATCATTTTTTATATAAATAATGAATTTACATATTATTAGATTCAGTGTTATCAGTATCCATAATAATCAATAGTAATAGATAGTAATATATAGTGACAAGTTTAAATTTGATGTAATATAATTATAACAGTTGAAATCATCAATATGGTATTTGAGAAAAGGTTTGTTAGCGATCATTTGGTGGTAGTTTGAGACGTTTCAATCAGGAGATTGTAATCTTCTAAGTTCCGGCCGTATAAACCGTAGTAATCCAAGGACAGGAATTAACCCGACCTCAGTCCATTGCTCTGCTGTGCTTTTTATTCAATCTCAGTATATCCACTAAATGAAAAATAACTAAAAGCAGCTCTGAGAACTAATTTACATACAAACAGATTATATTATAATTCTGTGCTTTAATATGATAACAAATTTAAATATCATTTTTAACGAGAATAATTAACACTTCCAAATAAAATAAAAATAAATTCTAAAAAATAACTAGTTACAAATGATTGTTTATTTCCTTTATACAATGAATTCATCGATTAGTCCCATTACAACTAATTAGGAGGAACCAATTATTAGAACAATTGTAATTATAAACAAACTCATAAATATATATAAATAAACTCATTATAATTAATAGAAATGTTAACCCTTTGTCGTCTGACAGTACTTATAAGTACCGGTACATTTATGTCACTATTTAAATTATAAAGAGATGTGAAACAGACCTATTGGTTCTTTAATATAATCTTTATATTCTATACAAAAATGATTTGTTTTGCAATTGGAAATATATGCAATATGGTAGAATACCATGAAATAAGTTTATAAAATAATATTA